GTGTTGGTGGTAGTGGTGGTGGTGGTGGTAGTGGTGTTGGTGGTAGTGGTGGTGGTAGTGGTGGTGATAGCATTAGTGGTTGTGGTGATGGTCTTAACTCTTTAAGCCCCGCCTACTAGCCTAGTACCTCTTACGTTTCCATTTAACTCTTCTGACATTAAAATTTGTTATCGAATCTGGCCTTAAAATTGTGGATAGAGGCTTCCACACCTGACCGTACAGGTGAGAGCACTTCCTTGCCTCCCTCCGGCTCAGGTGTGCTGCCACCTGTGTCCTCTCTCTCTCTCTCTCTCTCTCTTTTTAAATTTTGCCCCGAAGGGCGAGTTTATCGATAGCGTCACTCATCCTGTGAGTGGACACACCGCCATAGTGACAGTATTGGGCAGCGCCACTCATCCTGTGCGTGGACACACCGCCATAGTGACAGTATTGGGCAGCGCCACTCATCCTGTGAGTGGACACACCGCCATAGTGACAGTATTGGGCAGCGCCACTCATCCTGTGAGTGGACACACCGCCATAGTGACAGTATTGGGCAGCGTCACTCATCCTGTGAGTGGACACACCGCCATAGTGACAGTATTGGGCAGCGTCACTCATCCTGTGAGTGGACACACCGCCATAGTGACAGTATTGGGCAGCGCCACTCATCCTGTGAGTGGGCACACTGCCATAGTGACAGTATTGGGCAGGGCCACTCATCCTGTGAGTGGACACACCGCCATAGTGACAGTATTGGGCAGCGCCACTCATCCTGTGAGTGGGCACACTGCCATAGTGACAGTATTGGGCAGCGCCACTCATCCTGTGAGTGGGCACACCGCCATAGTGACAGTATTGGGCAGCGCCACTCATCCTGTGAGTGGACATACCACCATAGTGACAATATTGGGCAGCGCCACTCATCCTGTGAGTGGGCACACCGCCATAGTGACAGTATTGGGCAGCGCCACTCATCCTGTGAGTGGACACACCGCCATAGTGACAGTATTGGGCAGCGTCACTCATCCTGTGAGTGGACACACCGCCATAGTGACAGTATTGGGCAGCGTCACTCATCCTGTGAGTGGACACACCACCATAGTGACAGTATTGGGCAGCGCCACTCATCCTGTGAGTGGGCACACTGCCATAGTGACAGTATTGGGCAGCGCCACTCATCCTGTGAGTGGGCACACCGCCATAGTGACAGTATTGGGCAGCGCCACTAATCCTGTGAGTGGACATACCACCATAGTGACAACATTGGGCAGCGCCACTCATCTTGTGAGTGGACATACCGCCATAGCAGTATGTACAACACTCCCCAATAGGAAGAAAACCCGCTGGGTTGTTCATCCTGTCACTTGTTCCCAGAAACAGCTGGGACTTGCTTAACTGTCTCAAGTGAACAGCTCCTCAAACAAGAAGATTAACATCTATCAACCCTTAAAAGCTTACGTTATCTTGCGGGTGCAAAATGGGGAAATCTTTTAAGAACATTATCAATATTTGACAAATAGTGTTTTCCTAACTCAAACAATGTGGGGTTTATTATCAGGTGTTCACATTCACGTAGATAGTGGTCAAGGCGGTGTCCGTCATTCTCACCACAGATTCTGCAACTCCGCTGCTAAACTGTTGTTTCCGTTCCGAATCGCCATGGATATTTGTATCCAAGACAGATTCTCGCTATTACCGATTCTCTCCCTCGTCCTCCTCCTCTTCGTCCATAATGATTGGGATTGCCAGCTGCAACCATGTTGTACCATCGTACAGATTCACTGGTTTGTGCTTCTATCCTCCTTTCTTCAGTTACCTTGTCACGGTGATGTTGGCTGACAATACCTCTAATTTGTAGAAGAGTCTTGGGTATGAAGTATTCAATATGGTCTCCTTCAGCGCCTTCAGCAGCCAGCACATCTGCTCGTTCATTCCCACATATTCCAACATGGGAGGGGATCCCCAACATGGGAGGGGATCCACAGAAACTTGATGACTCTTCCCTGATTGGTAAGTGCTCTCACAACTCTTAATTTCAGCGACTATTGCAAGATTTTCTGCCCGATTTTTACTTAGGCTTTGCAGTGCTGCTTTTGAATCGGTGCAAATCACTGCACCATTAGTGTTCCGTTCAAGAAACCCTAACGCCATAACAATGGCAGTTAGCTCTGCTTGCGTTGAAGAGGCATAGTTCTCAATACGTGCTTTTTCTTCATTTCTGCGTTGGAAAGTATTATCCTTGATTACCGTGTATGCTGCACCAGCCCTGCCATTGACAGGATTAGATGACCCATCAGTGTAGATTTGATCTAGTTCATCTCCGGCTTCTTTATAAATTTCCTCGAGATACTTGTGCCTCTTTTCTTGTGGTATCATGTTGGATTTTTTCATTGCCATTTCATTGGTGATGATCTTGCATGAGTCATCCTCCCAGGGAGGTAACCCCTCTACAGGCAGGAGCTCACGGGCTTGCTCAAGCAGGTGAAGCTCTTCAAGGTAGCAGACTGATCTGTGATGCCATTTTTTGCTTCTCCTGTTTCCCCCTGAAAGTAGCACAGAGCTCAGTTTTTTCTTAGCAATATCATTGTAATGGGGATCTCTGGCTATCCTAATTGCAAGCTTAGCATTCAGCTCCTTAATTCTGCTTTTAACACTGGGAAGGGACAACTCCTCTCGTAGATTAGACGTTTTAGAAGTTCTTGGATCTCCAAGAATGATTGTCATGGCTTCATTTTGAATGCTTTCAAGCCTTTTCATATCGTTTTGGGAATAGGTGCATAGAACTGGTGCGGCATAGTCTATGACGGAGCGCACATAGGCTGTGTACGTCATTTTAAGCATGGCAATAGAGGCTCCATGTCATTTCTCTTCTTCTCCTCAGTTAACAGATCTGGCAATATCATTGTAATCGGGATCTCTACTTATTGTCCTGCTTTCTCTCAGTCTGAAAAGGCTGTCCTCGTCCACCAGATCTAGTCCCCTCAGTATCTTGTATGTTGAGGTCATATCCCCTATGTTCCGTCTGTCCTCTAAGGTTGTGGGATCTACTTCCATTATCTTCAAAGCTTAGCCATCTTAGCTCTGGCACTAATCTTCTTGAGTCCTGATTCAGGTTCCTAAACGATGTTCTTATATTTGCCGGCGTCGCATATGCTGCTGATGTTATCCTGTTAATGTGTGCCTCCGGTGTGAGTGTTGGTATCATACCCACTCCCACATTCTTCTCTCTGATTCCTGTAGCTGCCTTTCCCTTATGGTGAAGATGTATTCTGGTCTCCTCTCTCCCTTTCCCGTCATCATTACCTTACACTTGTTGGGACTGAACTCCAGCAACCATCTTTTTGAGTACATCTAGGTGAGTACACCTAGGTGAGTACGTCTAGGTGAGTACACGTAGGTGAGTACATCTAGACGAGTACACTTAGGTGAGTACATTTAGGTGAGAACATCTTGTTGAGTACATCTAGGTAAGTACATGTCAGTGAGTACATGTCAGTGAGTACACCTAGGTGAGTACATCTAGTGAGTACACCTAGGTGAGTACATCTAGTGAGTACACCTAGGTGAGTACATCTAGTGAGTACACAGAAACACTGCCAATTATAAGTACAAGCGTCTCTGATAACTTTCCTTCCAATAATAATTAAGATCAAACAAAAGGTTAAACAGTTCTTGGGTCTTTTAAAAGGAAACCTTTTTCCAGCGGTGGTTGGTTACACTGAGGAGAAACATATGTGGCAGGTACATGTGTAAGGTATTCTACATTGGTCTCCTCCCCCCCCCCATCCCCCTCCCCCTGCACTACACACCTGCACAAAAGGTTCCGTGTTGCAGACTCGGGTGAAGCCGGTTGGGCAGCCAGAATACCGTAGCCGATGGCATCATCTTAAGTACATGGCTCCTACTCTTTTTTCTTTTGCGTCATGACAATAAAGACAGAGAACGCCATTAATAAAATAAAATAAATTGAATAGAGAGAAAGGCCACAATGATTGGTGCCTTGCGGCACGCCATAAAGTTTCGAGCCTGTAGACAGTGAGTGGTGATCAGGTCACTACGGGAGCCACTCAGCCACGGATCTCACTCTTAATATCACACAGCAAAGGGCAACAATAAGAAAAAAGCAGCAAGATAATTATGGTTTTTGAAGAGTTAAGTAGGAGCTGCGGCCCCGGGTGCCTTGAGCGGCGAGCAGCGGCGTCTCACCCGCTACTGATCACGGCGACACACTCTCACGGCCTCTCTCCCTCACCTTCGTTCGAATCCTCTCTCTCTCCCTCCCTCCCCCGCTCCCTCACCACCGTGGCGCAGGTGTGGGCGTCACCGAGGGCACCCACAGCCGCCCTACACAAGTGTTGTGACGGTCTACCACACCGTCACGGACCAACACAACGTCACACACGTGACGCCGTCGTCACGGGAACCATTCTGAAGGAGACTAAACACTGCTGGCAAATGCTGCCAGTCTGACCATTTACTTCAATTTGATTATGTTAAAGGGCTGCATCACGACTTTATCCGATAGGCGATTTTCACCCTTGGAGCGTGAGGCCGCAAGGGCCGAAACGCAGGGAGGTGGGGTCGTCCCTTGAGCGGGGCTCTGTAAGAAATTAATCTAAGGAGGCATCTGGTGATCAGGGGTCTTAAAGAGCAGGAGTCGTGCCCCGGCTGGAGGTGGGGCCGCGCACATCCTCTCTCAACCACCAAATATTTATTTTACTGCATCATTATGGCGACACATTAACAGTCGTGATAATTAGTGCATGGTGATTGGCCGGTGAAGACAGCTGTCGTCATCCTTAAGGAGACAAGGGTGATTAGGGGGGGGGGGGGGCTCACCCAGAAGCTGTGATATGTCTCAAGATATATGAAGGACCTCTCAGTATACTCCAGGACACAGTATACCCGGGCCTTATACCCGCTGGTGTACCGGGAAGGTCAGTATACCCGCCAGCGGAGCCACCACCGTGAAATCGCTACTTTCGATATCACGAATTGCTAATTTCACGAATCACTAATTACTGGGACGATGATGGGAGGGTGGGGGGTGGGGTGTCACGACCTGACAGGCGGCCATCATGCTCACTATCACGGCAGTCATCATCACGCTCACTATCACGGCAGTCATCATCACGGTCACTATCACGGCAGTCATCATCACGCTCACTATCACGGCAGTCATCATCACGCTCACTATCACGGCAGTCATCATCACGCTCACTATCACGGCAGTCATCATCACGCTCACTATCACGGCAGTCATCATCACGGTCACTATCACGGCAGTCATCATCACGCTCACTATCACGGCAGTCATCATCACGCTCACTATCACGGCAGTCATCATCACGCTCACTATCACGGCAGTCATCATCACGCTCACTATCACGGCAGTCATCATCACGCTCACTATCACGGCAGTCATCATCACGCTCACTATCACGGCAGTCATCATCACGCTCACTATCACGGCAGTCATCATCACGCTCACTATCACGGCAGTCATCATCACGCTCACTATCACGGCAGTCATCATCACGGTCACTATCACGGCAGTCATCATCACGCTCACTATCACGGCAGTCATCATCACGCTCACTATCACGGCAGTCATCATCACGCTCACTATCACGGCAGTCATCATCACGCTCACTATCACGGCAGTCATCATCACGCTCACTATCACGGCAGTCATCATCACACTCACTATCACGGCAGTCATCATCACGCTCACTGTCACGGCAGTCATCATCACGGTCACTATCACGGCAGTCATCATCACGCTCACTATCACGGCAGTCATCATCACGGTCACTATCACGGCAGTCATCATCACGGTCACTATCACGGCAGTCATCATCACGCTCACTATCACGGCAGTCATCATCACGCTCACTATCACGGCAGTCATCATCACACTCACTATCACGGCAGTCATCATCACACTCACTATCACGGCAGTCATCATCACGCTCACTATCACGGCAGTCATCATCACACTCACTATCACGGCAGTCATCATCACGGTCACTATCACGGCAGTCATCATCACACTCACTATCACGGCAGTCATCATCACGCTCACTATCACGGCAGTCATCATCACGGTCACTATCACGGCAGTCATCATCACGCTCACTATCACGGCAGTCATCATCACGCTCACTATCACGGCAGTCATCATCACGGTCACTATCACGGCAGTCATCATCACGGTCACTATCACGGCAGTCATCATCACGCTCACTATCACGGCAGTCATCATCACGGTCACTATCACGGCAGTCATCATCACGGTCACTATCACGGCAGTCATCATCACGCTCACTATCACGGCAGTCATCATCACGGTCACTATCACGGCAGTCATCATCACGCTCACTATCACGGCAGTCATCATCACGCTCACTATCACGGCAGTCATCATCACGCTCACTATCAGGGCAGTCATCATCACGGTCACTATCACGGCAGTCATCATCACGCTCACTATCACGGCAGTCATCATCACGGTCACTATCACGGCAGTCATCATCACGCTCACTATCACGGCAGTCATCATCACGCTCACTATCACGGCAGTCATCATCACGCTCACTATCACGGCAGTCATCATCACACTCACTATCACGGCAATCATCATCACGCTCACTATCACGGCAGTCATCATCACACTCACTATCACGGCAGTCATCATCACACTCACTATCACGGCAGTCATCATCACGCTCACTATCACGGCAGTCATCATCACACTCACTATCACGGCAGTCATCATCACGCTCACTATCACGGCAGTCATCATCACACTCACTATCACGGCAGTCATCATCACACTCACTATCACGGCAGTCATCATCACGCTCACTATCACGGCAGTCATCATCACGCTCACTATCACGGCAGTCACCATCACACTGCAGGCCATCACCACCAACATCCACCAGCAACATCCACCACAAACATCTACCACCAACATCCACCACAAACATCCACCACCAACATCCACCACAAACATCCACCACCAACATCCACCACCAACATCCACCACAAACATCCACCACCAACATCCACCACAAACATCCACCACCAACATCCACCACAAACATCCACCACCAACATCCACCACCAACATCCACCACAAACATCCACCACCAACATCCACCACAAACATCCACCACCAACATCCACCACAAACATCCACCACCAACATCCACCACAAACATCCACCACCAACATCCACCACCAACATCCACCACCAACATCCACCACAAACATCCACCACCAACATCCACCACCAACATCCACCACCAACATCCACCACCAACATCCACCACCAACATCCACCACCATCATCCACCACCAACATCCACCACCAACACCCACCACCATCATCCACCACCAACATCCACCACCAACATCCACCACCATCATCCACCACCATCATCCACCACCAACATCCACCACCATCATCCACCACCATCATCCACCACCAACATCCACCACCAACATCCACCACCATCATCCACCACCAACATCCACCACTAACATCCACCACCAACATCCACCACTAACAACCACCACCAACATCCACCACCAATATCCACCACCATCATCCACCACCAACATCCACCACTAACATCCACCACCAACATCAACCACCAACATCCACCACCATCATCCACCACCGACATCCACCACTAACATCCACCACCAACATCCACCACCGACATCCACCACCATCATCCACCACTAACAACCACTACCAACATCCACCACCAACATCCACCACCAACATCCACCACCATCATCCACCACTAACATCCACCACCAACATCCACCACCAACATCCACCACCAACATCCACCACCAACATCCACCACTAACATCCACCACCAACATCCACCACCAACATCCACCACCAACATCCACCACCATCATCCACCACCATCATCCACCACTAACATCCACCACCAACATCCACCACCAACATCCACCACCATCATCCACCACTAACATCCACCACCAACTTCCACCACCAACATCTACCACCATCATCCACCACTAACATCCACCACCAACATCCACCACCAACAATGTTAGCCACCACCATCATCCATCACCAACAATGTTAGCCACCACCATCATCCACCACCAACATCTACCACCAACATTCACCACAGCCACTGTAACACCACTCTAAATGCACCACTATAATGGATACTAAACTAATAATGTAAACACTACTTATCCTGAGTAACACTTCCCCATTGGTTGCACTTGGTAACACTGTTATGGGCTGACATATGATGGTTACACCGGGACTACAAAGTACACTGCCAACAAGGAAATGCTAACACAGGATGAAATACGCTGGCACCATCTGCCTTTGACCATTGAGACTATATCAAGCAACGAGGCAAGAAACATTGCTTGACTTGGAGAGTACTTTCTATGACTGTCGTTAATTATGGAAACGGTTGTCAGCCACTATATCCAAAAGGCTAAGAGGATTCAACAATTGACACAGACGGGAAATTTAACATGAGTTTTATTGGGACCAAAATTATGTCAATCACCACTTATAAATCCTACTCTAACACTGGCAAAAAGTTAAGAAATTTGGACATGGAACAAAAACTCAGAGATCACACACATTACCTTAAGATATCTGTCTCTCACTGGCTGAGATGTTCTTCACAGCCCTCTCTGGACCCTGGTGTCCGGCACTCTGTCCTTACTAAGTCCCTACAGGACCTCTATATACAACCCCCACAGGGGGGAGGGGAAGATCTGCTGTTGGTACCTGGTCAGAAATGCTAGGGGGGTCGGGCCACACGTGCACAAACACTTAAGAAATATTTCAATAAGCTTGTTTGACATTCACCATACACTCTTCAAGAGAGGAGTTATTAATTACGTGTGTGACTGACCTCTGACCTGGCCAAAAGGGGGAGATCCAAGGATGTTTACACATAAGAATCTGGAGTCTAATTCCCTTACATGAAATCTTACATACTTGAAACTATGCTGACTAAGACTAACCCAGGAATTTTTAATCAATATACAAGATAAACCGGAGGTCATCTGGGCTGACCTCTTGGAGAAGGCTTCCCTGGGTGTGAAATCTAGGGGGGGGGGGGGAGGTCCTGGGTGTCACACCACCACCAACAACCACCACGAATCTCCATCACCAGCAACCACCACCAACATCTACCACCCACATCCACCACCAACATCCACCACCTACATCCACCAGCAACATCCACCACCAACAACATCCACCACTAACAACCACCACCAACATCCACCACCAACATTTACCACTAACAACCACCATAAACATCCACCACCAACATCAACCACCAGTAACAACCACCACCAACTTCCACCATGAACAACCACCACCAAAATCCACCACTGTTACAGGAGGGGGGGGGGGGGGACTGGGGCTCTTCTTGCCAAAGGGGCTGCTAGGAGATCAGGAGACATAATAGTCAGTCTCTCTGACTCATGTAACTCACCAGAGTCCCTAGGACCCAAAGGAGAGGACCAGGTAATACCCACCACCGCAGGTCTATACTCCCACCACCTGGGGTGCCACTGATTCACCCTGGGAGCCCTTCAGTCAACCACGGGGAAAACTGCTGCCAGCAATTCCGGCCTTGCCCCACGGAGGAGTGAACGAAGACTCAGGCTTATCTTCAACAGCACTTCCTCTGAGTCTTGCCTGCCTTAACAAAAAGATTGCAAGTCTCTCATCCACACCTGCATTCTATACTATCCAACAAGGTCGCCAGCTAGATTAATATCTCTGCACCCCAGCAATGCAGTTCAGTGGGTATGCACTATGTTGCCTGATAACAAAGTGTTGTTGCACTTACTGGGCTGAAACACGACCATCAGCCTAGGGTATGCTTCTATAAAATGTCTGTGTTGCTCTAGCACCACTAGCCACTAGGAAATTTCCATATAAAATCTTATTGTTCACTAGGTGGGGTTACAATATCACTCTCGTATGCTCGTAGAGATAATATGGAGGCACACTTAAACACATCAGTGAAAGTATATGACATTTATATGACATGCATGGGTATATATATATATATATATATATATATATATATATATATATATATATATATATATATATATTGTGACGGTAATCTCCTTCAAGAGATTGAGCCTGCTCTTCCCTCTACAAATACGTCGCAACAAACTATATAAAACTACTAGGGAAGAAATGTCCAACAACGACAACAACACCAGCAAGGTTTGCCAGCGAGCAAAACGTATGCAGCCAGAGACACCTGTTCAGACTCAAACCGCCAAACTACCTGTTGATCGCTACCGGCTCCGCTGATTGGTCGCCGGCCGGGCTGCAACTGCACTCCACCCCCCCATACTACTTGATGTCTGGGGTCGCCACGACCTCAGACCTCAGAATATTCTGTGCTTCCGCGGTTACCACTCCTCCCGGCTAGACGTTAGCGTATACTGAGAGAGGTGGTAGCTTAAAGCCAATATTCCAGCACCTTACCTTTATTTTTGTGTTGCACTTCTTGTTATTTTGTCTTAACGTAACTTTTCATTGTGTCATTTAATTATTCTTATTATTTTGATTGATTGATTTTATTATACAAATTTGTTTGTCCATTTTTTCATGTTTTGATTTATTTAACGTAATTAAAATTTCATTGTTAAAATTTACTTGTGTTTTGTGTGTCTTCTCCTTACCTTACCACAGACGAAGTTCCAGTTTTTTTCTATTTTTTTTTATAACTATGTGACGAGGCCATACCCCTAGCCTTAACAGCCGAACACCAACGCGTTACCGTCACAATATATATATATATATGTCGTACCTGGTAGCCAGAACGCACTTCTCAGCCTACTATGCAAGGCCCAATTTGCCTAATAAGCCAAGTTTTCCTTAATTAATATATTTTCTCCAATTTTTTTCTTATGAAATGATAAAGCTACCCGTTTCATTATGTATGAGGTCAATTTTTTTTTATTGAAGTTAAAATTAACGTAGACATATGACCGAACCTAACCAACCCTACCTAACCTAACCTAACCTATCTTTATAGGTTAGGTAGCCGAAAAAGTTAGGTTAGGTTAGGTTAGGTAGGTTTGGTAGTCGAAAAAACATTAATTCATGAAAACTTGGCTTATTAGGCAAATCGGGCTTTGCATAGTAGGCTGAGAAGTGCGTTCTGGCTACTAGGTATGACATATATATATATATATATATATATATATATATATATATATATATATATATATATATATATATATATATATATGTCGTACCTAAGAGCCAGAACGCATTTCTCAGCCAACTATGCAAGGCCCGATTTGCCTAATAAGCCAAGTTTTCATGAATTAATGTTTTTTCGACTACCTAACCTACCTAACCTAACCTAACCTAACTTTTTCGGCTACCTAACCTAACCTAACCTCTAAAGATAGGTTAGGTTAGGTTAGGTAGGGTTAGTTAGGTTCGGTCATATATCTACGTTAATTTTAACTCCAATAAAAAAAAATTGACCTCATACATAATGAAATGAGCAGCTTTATCATTTCATAAGAAAAAAATTAGAGAAAATATATTAATTCAGGAAAACTTGGCTTATTGGGCAAATCGGGCCTTTTATAGTAGGCCAAGAAGTGCGTTCTGGCTGCTAGGTACGACATATATATATATATATATATATATGTCGTACCTAATAGCCAGAACGCACTTCTCAGCCTACTATTCAAGGCCCGATTTGCCTAATAAGCCAAGTTTTCATGAATTAATATTTTTTCGTCTACCTAACCTACCTAACCTAACCTAACCTAGCTTTTTTTGGCTACCTAACCTAACCTTACCTATAAATATAGGTTAGGTTAGGTTAGGTAGGGTTGGTTAGGTTCGGTCATATATCTACGTTAATTTTAACTCCAATAAAAAAAAATTGACCTCATACATAGAGAAAAGGGTTGCTTTATCATTTCATAAGAAAAAAATTATAGTAAATATATTAATTCAGGAAAACTTGGCTTATTAGGCAAATCGGGCCATGAATAGTAGGCTGAGAAGTGAGTTCTGGCTACTAGGTACGACATATATATATATATATATATATATATATATATATATATATATATATATATATATATATGTCGTACCTAGTAGCCAGAACTCACTTTTCAGCCTACAATGCAAGGCCCGATTGCCTAATAAGCCAAGTTTTCATGAATTAATATATTTTCTCTAATTTTTTTCTTATGAAATGATAAAGCAACCCATTTCATTATGTAAGAGGTCAATTTTTTTTTATTGGAGTTAAAATTAACGTAGATATATGACCGAACCTAACCAACCCTACCTAACCTAACCTAACCTATCTCTATAGGTTAGGTTAGGTTAGGTAGCCGAAAAAGTTAGGTTAGGTTAGGTTAGGTAGGTTAGGTAGTCGAAAAGCAATTAATTCATGAAAACTTGGCTTATTAGGCAAATCGGGCCTTGCATAGTAGGCTCAGAAGTGAGTTCTGGCTACTAGGTACGACATATATATATATATATATATATATATATATATATATATATTGTACCTAGTAGCCAGAATGCACTTCTCAGCCTACTATGCAAGGCCCGATTTGCCTAATAAGCCAAGTTTTCCTGAATTAATATATTTTCTCTAATTTTTTCTTATGAAATTATAAAGCTACCCATTTCATTATGCATGAGGTCAGTTTTTGTTTATTGGAGTTAAAATTAACGTAGATATATGACCGAACCTAACCAACCCTACCTAACCTAACCTAACCTATCTGTATAGGTTAGGTTAGGTTAACCTAACCTAACCTATCTTTATAGGTTAGGTTAGGTTAGGTAGCCAAAAAAGTTAGGTTAGGTTAGGTTAGGTTAGGTAGCCAAAAAAGTTAGGTTAGGTTAGGTTAGGTAGGTTAGGTAGTCGAAAAACAATTAATTCATGAAAACTTGGCTTATTAGGCAAATCGGGCCTTGCATAGTAGGCTTAGAAGTGCGTTCTGGCTACTAGGTACGACATATATATATATATATACATATATATATATATATATATATATATATATATATATATATATATATATATATATATATATATATATATATATATATATATATATATATATATATATATATATATAAATATTCTGGAGATCGTCGGCAGCTTTCCTTTCATGCCCTCCGGCAACTCCGTCAGCTGGGCAGATTTAAATGGATGTCTCACACCCTATCGAAGGGGGGGGGGGGACACTTCTTCAACGTGGACCTCCTCCTCACCAACTGCCACGTCGTCCACAAACTGTCTTCCTTAACAGCCATAAATACTAGCTGCCCTGCAGCCTATCCTAATACTAAAGTTCTAATAAATACTGATACCATATATAGATATTTGATGGCCTAACTAGCCTAATCAACAAGAGGCAATGGGAGGGATAAATGATCTACCTTCAACATTCCTGGTTCACGACGCTTGTCCCTCGATGGTATGAGGTTCCTACAGTTCCTGAGTCGCTCTTTAACGATCCAGTAACATGTTGCAGAGCCTCAGGTGTCGAGAAGCAATCGCGTCCTCGCCGTGCCATTCCCAAAGTTCAGGTATTCCAAATCTTGGTCCAACCAGTGGTCACTGAGTCAGTCACTGTATACACACGTTCCTTCCATAAAGGCGTCTCTCCTTGACCTAGGAATCGTGCCTTCCCTCTAACGTTCTCAGTAGATGTGACCCAGTCACTGCAGTCCTGCTCTACACACCAACCAGACCCGCGGATGTCAGGCTACGCCCTCCTGAGTCGTCGCCAACCGATACCTCAAGTTTTGACACTTCTTTGCCCAATAAACTTGGCTTCTTCTTGCTCCCCAGGAGTACAGGGTCTTCAGCCTTGATGGTGGGCTGAGATGGCTGCTTATGATCCACTGAACAAGGCTTCCAGAGCCTCCGACTTCGAGAACTATTTGACGCATGTCCACAGTCAGGTCAGCTCTGAGCGAAGTCTCCGCCGGCGCCGCCAGGGGTTCTCAGTGTCGTCACGACGGGCGCTGATTGGTCGGCCGATCCACGTGACCTGGGCCAGCCAATCCGCAGCCAGCTGGCGTCGTCCACAAAATGGCGGATTTGCAGGCAGGGGGCACCATTTTGTTTGTATCAAGGGCGCGACTTCCCCCCCTTACATACAAACTTATAAATATAAATTTCTCCCCAATTAAGTGACTAATATGGTTGCCTCATATATCAAGAGACTCCCTGTACCTCAGGGAATCAGCAGGGTCAGCAGATATGACTCTTAAGCCGGATTTGGAGAGAAATAGAAGTGGCCCCATAACACCACTAACAACCACTGTTGCTTTTTGGCATTTGATTTGCTCAAATTTACCTGCAGCTGCTTGATAATAGCTTTCCAGGTCAGCATAATCAACTGGAGATTGTTGTGACAAATCTTCACATTTCTTGATCTGTCTTGTTAAGTGGCCTTTAAGACCTGCAAGGGTTCTTTTCATTCTCCCTGCATTATCCATACTGGCTAGTTGGTGAAGCCTTGTGGGGCTTGTACTTGGGCTGCTCATAATGCTGAACAAGCACTGATGGTAGTCTAGAGTAAAAATTCTGCAATCACTAGGCTATAATCCTACCTCTTCTAGAGGTTAGCACTAAAAATTAATACACATTATATATATATATAATCATACACACTTATGATTTGAGTGATAAACCAGTGTCACTGGAAGTACCTTGAGGTTAGCTCCTCGATTATCACCCTAGGATGGTATAGACACTAATTAATCACTCAAAAGGTGGTATGATCATAAGTTAATTATTATATATACACAACTCAACTCGAGCTGGTAACAATTACACCCAAAATAGGGTCTGCACCATTCATTAATGGTGCTAGGTTGTTCAATATAGTACAACTAGACTATGGTAATAATGGGACTAGAATGAACAATAAATAGTTCAACTAGTCAATGGTAATACAGGACTAGGTTATCTATAAACACTAGTCAATGTATATCCTACCCTGTTGTGGGTTGGCAATTGGTAAATATTATATTGAGAAACTAGTGTAATATATATTAAATAATTCTCTATTTTGGAGAAATAATATGCACAATTATTGATGATAGCCTCATAATTGCCTCTATGAAACTTCTAATATTATCAAGAAGTATTAAATATTATTAGTGACCTCACGAAATTAACTCCACAAAATTCATGGATAATCTCTCGCGAAATTAACACCACTAAATCCGTGAACAATCTTCCGAGGACACAGCCACTAATTTGGCTGGCTTTAATATAAGCGCTATCACTTCACAAAAATAACACGCCACCAAATCAGAAGAGTGACCATGAAACCGCTGAGTAAGATTGTGCTGGGCTGTTTGACTGCCTCTGTATTGTTATTGTATAAATCACACTAGTACCAGTATATTTAATGAATCCACTGGTTAATTGGTTCATCTGGTACAAAAATGACCAAATAGTCGTCATCCGGCTCGATGATGACCATATAATCTCGGTTCAAAGGACCAAATAATCCGATTCGAAGGACCAAATAATGGGGAAACCGACCTGTGAGATGTATATTTAATTTATATGAATTTATATAGAATTTATATTTATGTTAATTTATATATTTCGATAGCAATTTGTATGATGTTAAGTGGACTGTATTTCTGCAATAATCTCACAAATCGATCCTTACACATTAGGGGGGGGTTTATATTAAATTTATATATATGCAGCCAATCAAACTACAGTATTAAATTACATATATTGGTATACATTGAGGAGGTTCCTTCTCTTATTGTACAGCAGGCTTAGTCCACCAGGTATAACTAGGATCTAGACACCAAATTATCCTCGTTTGAGGCTAGCTTCCATCACACAGTAACTGATGTATCAAGTTTTGCTTCCTCTTCTTGTTCCTGTCAAAGGGCACTAGCTGTAAGCCAGAATCCTAATATATGACAGCTATATCAGAGAAAACACTGTATAATAGATAAGATAAGGACCAAGGCTTAATTACCTTTATTGAATCGATTATTTGTGTTCTCACCGGTTCGCCCAATATCTACCTAACATTAATGGCCAAAAATGATCAGATAAATGGGTTTCGGAAAGACACTTCCCTTGTGGTTGTTGAGAGCGTGTTGATGATGGCAGAACACTACTCTGATCTCCATAACACTTCGTCTAAGAGAAAATATAGGAGCTGTACTTGCTCCAACGACTCTGGTCTTTTACCAACAATGGCTGACCACTTCCTCACCACTGACGCTACTGGCTCTCCTTCTCCAATGTCAATAACTGATAGAAGGGTCACATTTACTTTATTTTGATACTGATAATAAGTTAATTCAAATGAAATGTTTTTATGATGGTAAAAGTCCAAAGACTAATGTATTTAAGAATAATTCCCAACACAATAGCTGATGAATTTATAGTACTATGTGGCAATGATATCCCGTTTTCTATTGACGGAAAGTTCCACTACAGGCTACATTTTCTATGGGGTAACTTGTTTATACAATGGCAGCAGCAATATCTGCCTATTGTATATATATTATTAAATGGTGTCGGGTTTTCCGACAACCACTACCAACAAACACCAATAACAACCACCACCAACAACCACCACCAACAACCACCACCAACAACCACCACTAACAACCACCACCAACAACCACCACTAACAACCACCACCAACAACCACCACCAACAACCACCACCAACAACCACCACAACACCACTACTAACAACAACCAACCACCACCAACAACACCACCACAACCACCACTAACAACCACCACCAACACCACCAACAACACCACCACCAACCACCACCACTACAACAACCACCACAACCACCACCTACTAACAACCACCACAACCACCACTAACAACCACCACAACCACCACTAACAACCACCACAACACCACTAACAACCACCACAACACCACCACACACCACCCACAACCACCACCAACAACCACCACTAACAACCACCACTAACAACCACCACCACAACACCACTAACAACCACCACAACAACACCACCACCAACAACAACCACAACCACCACTAACACCACCACAACACCACCACTAACAACCACCACAACACCACCACTAACAACCACCACAACACCACCACCACCACAACACCACTAACAACCACCACTAACAACCACCACACAACAACCACCACCAACCACCACCACTAACAACCACCACAACACCACTACTAACAACCACCACAACAACCACCACCAACAACCACCACAACACCACCACTAACAACCACCACAACACCACCACTAACAACCACCACAACACCACCACCAACACCACCACCACACCACCACTAACAACCACCAACAACCACCACTAACAACCACCACAACACCACCAACACAACCACCACCAACAACCACCACTAACAACCACCACAACACCACCACTAACAACCACCCAACACCACCACTAACAACCACCACAACACCACCACTAACCACCACCACACCACCACTAACACCACCACAACACCTCCACTAACAACCACCACAACACCACCACTAACACCACCACCAACACCACCACTAACAACCACCACAACACCACTAACAACCACCACAACACCACCAACAACCACAACCACCACCAACACCACCACTAACAACCACCACACCACACCACCAACAACCACCACCACAACCACCACTAACAACACCACAACACCACCACTAACAACCACCACCACAACCACCACTAACACCACCACCACTAACAACCACCACCACTAACAACCACCACAACACCACCACTAACAACCACCACAACACCACCACTAACAACCACCACAACACCTCCACTAACAACCACCACTAACAACCACCACTAACAACCACCACAACACCACCACTAACAACCACCACCAACACCACCACTAACAACCACCACAACACCACCACCAACAACCACCACTAACAACCACCACTAACAACCACCACCAACAACCACCACTAACAACCACCACAACAACCACCACTAACAACCACCACCAACAACCACCACTAACAACCACCACCAACAACCACCACTAACAACCACCACCAACAACCACCACCAACAACCACCACTAACAACCACCACCAACAACACCACTAACAACCACCACCAACAACCACCACTAACAACCACCACTAACAACCACCACCAACAACTACCACCACCAACAACTACCACCACAAACTAACACTGGACTAAGGTCCACCACAACTAACACTGGACTAAGGTCCACCACAACTAACACTGGACTAAGGTCCACCACAAACTAACACTGGACTAAGGTCCACCACAACTAACACTGGACTAAGGTCCACCACAACTAACACTGGACTAAGGTCCACCACAACTAACACTGGACTAAGGTCCACCACAACTAACACTGGACTAAGGTCCACCACAACTAACACTGGACTAAGGTCCACCACAACTAACACTGGACTAAGGTCCACCACAACTAACACTGGACTAAGGTCCACCACAACTAACACTGGACTAAGGTCCACCACACTAACACTGGACTAAGGTCCACCACAACTAACACTGGACTAAGGTCCACCACAACTAACACTGGACTAAGGTCCACCACAACTAACACTGGACTAAGGTCCACCACAACTAACACAGGACTAAGGTCCACCACAACTAACACTGGACTAAGGTCCACCACAACTAACACTGGACTAAGGTCCACCACAACTAACACTGGACTAAGGTCCACCACAACTAACACTGGACTAAGGTCCACCACAACTAACACTGGACTAAGGTCCACCACAACTAACACTGGACTAAGGTCCACCACAACTAACACTGGACTAAGGTCCACCACAACTAACACTGGACTAAGGTCCACCACAACTAACACTGGACTAAGGTCCACCACAACTAACACTGGACTAAGGTCCACCACAACTAACACTGGACTAAGGTCCACCACAACTAACACTGGACTAAGGTCCACCACAACTAACACTGGACTAAGGTCCACCACAACTAACACTGGACTAAGGTCCACCACAACTAACACTGGACTAAGGTCCACCACAACTAACACTGGACTAAGGTCCACCACAACTAACACTGGACTAAGGTCCACCACAACTAACACTGGACTAAGGTCCACCACAACTAACACTGGACTAAGGTCCACCACAACTAACACTGGACTAAGGTCCACCACAACTAACCTGGACTAAGGTCCACCACAACTAACACTGGACTAAGGTCCACCACAACTAACACTGGACTAAGGTCCACCACAACTAACACTGGACTAAGGTCCACCACAACTAACACTGGACTAAGGTCCACACTGGACTAACCTAACACTGGACTAAGGTCCACCACAACTAACACTGGACTAAGGTCCACCACAACTAACACTGGACTAAGGTCCACCACAACTAACACTGGACTAAGGTCCACCACAACTAACACTGGGGACTAAGGTCCACCCCAACTAACACTGGACTAAGGTCCACCACAACTAACACTGGACTAAGGTCCACCACAACTAACACTGGACTAAGGTCCACCACAACTAACACTGGACTAAGGTCCACCACAACTAACACTGGACTAAGGTCCACCACTACTAACACTGGACTAAGGTCCACCACAACTAACACTGGACTAAGGTCCACCGCAACTAACACTGGACTAAGGTCCACCACAACTAACACTGGACTACGGGGTCCACCCACAACTAACACTGGACTAAGGTCCACCACAACTAACACTGGACTAAGGTCCACCACACTAACACTGGACTAAGGTCCACCACAACTAACACTACAGACTAAGGTCCCCACAACTAACACTGGACTAAGGTCCACCACAACTGGACTAAGGTCCACCACAACTAACACTGGACTAAGGTCCACCACAACTAACACTGGACTAAGGTCCACACACTAAGGTCCACCACACTAACACTGGACTAAGGTCCACCACAACCACTGGACAGGTCCACCACAACTAACACTGGACTAAGGTCCACCACAACTAACACTGGACTAAGGTCCACCACAACTAACACTGGACTAAGGTCCACCACAACTAACACTGGACTAGGTCCACCACAACTAACACTGGACTAAGGTCCACCACAACTAACACTGGACTAAGGTCCACCACAACTAACACTGGACTAAGGTCCACCACAACTAACACTGGACTAAGGTCCACCACAACTAACACTGGACTAAGGTCCACCACAACTAACACTGGACTAAGGTCCACCACAACTAACACTGGACTAAGGTCCACCACAACTAACACTGGACTAAGGTCCACCACAACTAACACTGGACTAAGGTCCACCACAACTAACACTGGACTAAGGTCCACCACAACTCTCCACCACCAATTGGCCCTCTCCTCTTTCTCATCTACATTAATGACCTTCCAAATGCCTCCCAACACCTCAAACCAATTCTATTTGCTGACGACACAACCTTCATTTACTCCAGTCCTGACCCTCTTGCTCTAAATGCCACAGTAAATACTGAGCTAAATAAAGTCCATCTTTGGCTAACTGCCAACAAACTCACCCTTAACATTGACAAAACCTTCTATATTCTGTTTGGCAATAAATCCTCTAGTCTTATAAATCTCAAAATAAACAATACCCAAATTTGTAACAAATTAGATGGCAAATTCCTTGGCATTCTCATTGACCACAAGCTGAATTTCCAGGGACACATTCTAAATATATCAAAAAAGTTTCAAAAACTGTGGGCATTCTTTCTAAGATCAGATATTATGTACCACGCCCTGCTCTGGTGACTCTCTATTACTCCCTTATCTATCCTTATCTCAACTATGGTATTTGTGCTTGGGGTTCTACTACCCAAAATCACTTACGTCCTCTAATTACCCAACACAAAGCCGCTATTAGAACAATATCCAACTCTGGCCCCAGACATCACTCGGTACCCCTACTCAAATCTCTTAATATGTTAGATATTAAGTCACTGCACATTCTCTCATGTGTATTATACATATATAAAACGCTAAACTATAATGCCAATCCTGATCTTAAAAGCTTCATAGAAGGTTGTAACAGAACCCATGAGCACCACACCAGAAATAAATACAGTTTTGATATTCCTAGAGTACGTCTTAATCAAACTAGAAATGCTCTGCAAATCAAGGGGCCCAGAATGTGGAATGACCTTCCCAACCATGTTAAAGACTGTACCTCTCTCAACCAGTTTAAGATAAAAACTAAACACTACCTAATAAATTCCCTGTAATCTACCTCACTCTCCTCTATTGTCAACCCATGTCTGTTATTTTCTTTTTTTTTTTTTTTCTTTTTTTTTTTTAATCAACACTGTTTGTCAACCTATTGTATTTGTGCTGCTTTTCAGTCATGTTCCCCCCTTTTTTTTTTATCTTTATTTGTATTTGTTCTCAACATCTTTTATTCTTTATGCTCAATTAGTATTAAGTTCTAGATATTAATGTTTTTCTTGCCCGAAACGCATTGCGTAATAGTGGCTTTAGGCATTGTATGTACTAGCTCTATCTATATATCAATCCATTAATGTAACATCACTTGTATGTATATACCTTACCTGAATAAACATCTGAATCTGAATCTGAAACTAACACCTCACTACACCGCAAGTTACAACCCTTTACACAGGTGGGTACAGGAACAGACGACTGCTGACTCCTTCAGCACACTGAGAGCTTTCCCTTCCCACAGCTCATGGTAAGTCTTACCCACTGGTGGCCCTCGAATACCACCCCTATATACTACTATAACCTCCACTCTTAGTGGATCTATAACCTCCACTCCTAGTGGATCTATAACCTCCACTCTTAATGGATCTATAACCTCCACTCCTAGTGGATCTATAACCTCCACTCTTAATGGATCTATAACCTCCACTCCTAGTGGATCTATAACCTCCACTCTTAATGGATCTATAACCTCCACTCCTAGTGGATCTATAACCTCCACTCTTAATGGATCTATAACCTCCACTCCTAGTGGATCTATAACCTCCACTCCTAGTGGATCTATAACCTCCACTCCTAGTGGATCTATAACTTTCACCCCTTAGTGGATCTATAACCTCCACTCCTAGTGGATCTATAACTTTCACCCCTTAGTGGATCTATAACCTCCACTTCTAGTGGATCTATAACTTTCACCCCTTAGTGGATCTATAACCTCCACTTCTAGTGGATCTATAACTTTCACCCCTTAGTGGATCTATAACCTCCACCCTTAGTGGATCCACTGCTCCTTAATGTTTCTCACCAATCTGATGTTATATGAAGATGGACCTTTGAAATACCCAGGTAGCCTTTGAAATACCCAGGCAACCTTTGAAATACCCAGGTAACCTTTGAAATACCCAGGCAACCTTTGAAATACCCAGGTAACCTTTGAAATACCCAGGCAACCTTTGAAATACCCAGGTAACCTTTGAAATACCCAGGCAACCTTTGAAATACCCAGGTAACCTTTGAAATACCCAGGTGACCTTTGAAATACCCAGGCAACCTTTGAAATACCCAGGTAGCCTTTGAAATACCCAGGCAACCTTTGAAATACCCAGGTAACCTTTGAAATACCCAGGCAACCTTTGAAATACCCAGGTAACCTTTGAAATACCCAGGTAACCTTTGAAATACCCAGGTAGCCTTTGAAATACCCAGGTAACCTTTGAAATACCCAGGTAACCTTTGAAATACCCAGGTAACCTTTGAAATACCCAGGCAACCTTTGAAATACCCAGGTAGCCTTTGAAATACCCAGGCAACCTTTGAAATACCCAGGTAACCTTTGAAATACCCAGGCAACCTTTGAAATACCCAGGTAACCTTTGAAATACCCAGGCAACCTTTGAAATACCCAGGTAACCTTTGAAATACCCAGGTAACCTTTGAAATACCCAGGTGACCTTTGAAATACCCAGGTGACCTTTGAAATACCCAGGCAACCTTTGAAATACCCAGGTAACCTTTGAAATACCCAGGTAGCCTTTGAAATACCCAGGTAACCTTTGAAATACCCAGGTGACCTTTGAAATACCCAGGCAACCTTTGAAATACCCAGGTAACCTTTGAAATACCCAGGTGACCTTTGAAATACCCAGGTAACCTTTGAAATACCCAGGTGACCTTTGAAATACCCAGGCAACCTTTGAAATACCCAGGTAACCTTTGAAATACCCAGGCAACCTTTGAAATACCCAGGTAACCTTTAAAATACCCAGGTAACCTTTGAAATACCCAGGTAACCTTTGAAATACCCAGGTAAATGATTGACAGACTGGATATTCATATCCAACTGTTTATTTGGTGCAGTGTAAGGTGTCAACACGAGATATAGTGCAATGTTCCCTTAGAACAGTGGTGAAGTACTGGAGCACTGATGCAAGGTTCCGTGTCTTAGCGTCCCGACTCTGCTGTCAGCTCGTTACATCCAGTGCCTGCAGCACGCATCACTGCCAGAGAACTACCAATTTCTTGAACAACAAATCATACAGCATGAAATAAAGTCATTCTGGACTGAAATTCTCCCCTCGTGACATTCTTAGTCTCTTAGGGTAATTAAAGTCCCCACTTGGCCAACTGCTGGTCCACCCCAGGATGACACCCCACAAGTGAAGACCAGGGGATCACTAGCCTCCTGGTCCATCTACACTCTGCACCTCTCTTCCTCTTGTCACGGTAGGGAAGGTAGCCATCAATGGTGGCAGTAGTCACGGCAGGCCATGGTAGGGGAGGACAACCATGGTGGCAGTAGTCACGGCAGGCCATGGTAGGGGAGGACAACCATGGTAGCAACAGTCACGGCAGGCCATGGTAGGGGAGGACAACCATGGTAGCAACAGTCACGGCAGGCCATGGTAGGGGAGGACAACCATGGTAGCAACAGTCACGGCAGGCCATGGTAGGGGAGGCGGAGGTCACTCACGTAAAGTTGTTCCCACGGTGTAGAGGCGTGCAGGAGGCGAGGAGCCAGGCACGACCTCAGAGCCTGCTGGTGGGGGCGTGCTGCCTCACCACCACGATGGTCGCAACATCAGAGTCTGCAACACCGTCGTGACGTTGTAGGTTTTACTGTTATGTACATGGTCAACATCCTCAAAGTTCCGCACCTGGCCCAACTCCGTGGAGTACCAGTCGTTACCACCCGTAGCACTAGGCTCCCAACCTTCAACAATATCATACTGGAACTGGCTTTCTCAAGAACATCACTCCATCAGCGTTCATTCACTCCGAGGCTGACTCGCATCTTGAACTTGTTCACTCAACAGGTTGATACACGGGAGATCAGGTCAAGTGATCACATGAAGGCTCTGGCACACAGTTGGCTACGACCTCATCCTGTTACTTACAGGATTCATCTCCATGCAACAACATTACTGCAACATTCATCTCCACGAGACACCAGCATCTTGCAACATTCATCTCCACGAGACACCAGCATCCTGCAACATTCATCTCCACGAGACACCAGCATCCTGCAACATTCATCTCCACGAGACACCAGCATCCTGCAACATTCATCTCCACGAGACACCAGCATCCTGCAACATTCATCTCCAGAGTTATTGTTGCTCGCGTCTCTAAATGCTTTTTGTTTGCAAAGTGTGTGAGGTGAGGACAAGGTGTGTCGACAGTGTGACAACACACCTCACCCACCACCAAGGACCCCATCCACCAGCCTTCTCCACCACCAAGGACCCCATCCATGTGACTTCATCAAGCATCACGTGAAACAATGAGTGGAGGCGGCAGGCACCAAGTGGGGTCACGGGACACCTGGAGACTGGAGGAGCACCTCAAGCCGGGTCTTGGACGCAGACCACCTTCTTGACCTCATTACCAGTATACACTCTGGAAGCTCCGAGGGTGAAGGGATAGAGGTGTTAAGTGAAGGGAAGCGGGGGGGGGGGGGAGGGGTCATCAACCTCCAAGTCATCAACTTACCGTCCTCCTCACAAGTCAGTTTAGACAGTCCTCACGTGCTCTGTAATTGCCTTTCCCAACCTCTAGTTCGCTATGGACCTCTTTTATCGCGCTCTCTCCTTCCCCCTGCGTGTGGAGGGAGACGGTGGACTGTGTACTGGCCCTTCAGTTGTTGGTGTGTTTCCTGTGTTCTGGTACACTAATAGTGTGTGTTCCCCAGGGTGGGTGTGGAGGGGGTGTGTGGGGGTGGGTGTGGAGGGGTGTGTGGGAGTGGGTGTGTTGGGGTGTGTGGGGGTCGGTGTAGAGGGGTGTGTGGGGGGTGTGTGGGGGTCGGTGTAGAGGGGTGTGTGGGGGTGGGTGTGGAGGGGTGTGTGGGGTGGGTGTAGAGGGGGGTGTTTGGGTGTGGGTGTGGAGGGGTGTGTTTGGAGTGGATGTGGAGGGGTGTGTGGGGGTTGGTGTAGAGGGGTGTGTGGGGTGGGTGTGGAGGGGTGTGTTGGAGTGGATGTGGAGGGGTGTGTGGGGGTTGGTGTAGAGGGGTGTGTGGGGGTGGGTGTGGGAGGGGTGTTGTTGGAGTGGATGTGAGGGGTGTGTGGGGTTGGTGTAGAGGGGTGTTGTGGGGGGGGGTGTGGGAGGGTGTGTGGGGGTGGGTGTGGAGGGTGGTGTGGGGGTGGGTGTCGAGGGGTGTGTGGGGGTGGGTGTGGAGGGGTGTGTGGGGTGGGGGCCAGCGTGGGAGGGGTGGAGCAAGGGAGGGGGGGGGCGGGCTCCAGGGCCACCAGGCACAACAATGGAACAGCATCACTGGAAAACAAAAGCCAAGAGTGAGCCTGGCTGTAATTATGGAGTAGTGGCAGAGTTGTGGTTGTGGTGGTGGTGGTTGTGGTGGTGGTGGTTGTGGTGGTGGTGGTGAAATTTGGTGGTGGTGGTGGTGGTTGTGATGGTGGTGGTGGTGATGGTGATTGTTGTGGTTGTGGAGGTGGGGGCGGTAGTAGTTGTGGTTGTGATGGTTGTGGTGGTGGTTGTGGTGGTGGTTATGGTGGTGGTGGTGGTGGTGGTGGTGGTTGTCGTGGTGGTGGTGGTGGTGGTAGTGGTTGTGATGGTTGTGGCTGTGATGGTGGTGGTTGTGGTTGTGGTGGTTGTGGTTGTCGTGGTGGTGGTAGTGGTTGTGATGGTTGTGGCTGTGATGGTAGTGGTTGTCGTGGTGGTGGTAGTGGTTGTGGTGGTAGTGGTTGTGATGGTTGTGGTTGTGGTGGTTGTGGTTGTCGTGGTGGTGGTAGTGGTTGTGATGGTTGTGGTTGTGATGGTTGTGGCTGTGATGGGTTTGGCTGTGATGGTTGTGGCTGTGATGGTTGTGGCTGTGATGGTTGTGGCTGTGATGGTTGTGGCTGTGATGGTTGTGGCTGTGATGGTTGTGGCTGTGATGGTTGTGGCTGTGATGGTTGTGGCTGTGATGGTTGTGGCTGTGATGGTGGTGTTTTTTTATATTATTTTCTACCACAGACGTGGCCAGACATTTACAATGCTAACCAGCAGTTATACATTTTCTTCTGTCCTCCATGGACAGGGTTAGAGATGTGTTAAACATATAGTTCAAGGGTTTATTGAACAATCAACCACAGAAGGTGATTTTATAGTGCTATTAAAATGCTAAGCTAACCTACATACGTAAATACATAGATACACAGATTTACGTATGCCCTACATAGTGTTCGATGTGTCTTTACATAGTGTCATTAATGTGCATTTACAAAGGTGAAATGTAAATCTGATCAGCTTCCACATACACTTTATACATATACATATACATACACACATATATACATGCATATACATATATACACACACATACATTTGTCTCTTTTACTCTGACAGGGTGAGATAGCTGATAGAGAAACTAATATGCAATTTAGCACTTAACCACTGAAGGTGATTAAGATGCTTTTACAAGCTCAGGTTATATAGTTACATCTCATACATGCATTGTATAAGTGATACATTACATGGTCAATCTTGGGTACAAGTCCAATATATCATCAAGTTTTCCAGTACTCATATAGTAGTTTTACTGAGTTCAGCATACCTTGCCCAAGAGGGCGAAAGTCAGTCAATATGGGACATTCTACAATATAATGTTCAACAT